GGCAGGAGAGGAGGTCACAGATGTGAAGTGTGAGGGAGGGTTCGATGCATCTTTGATGACTTGAGAAGGTGGGGACCATGTGGAAAGGACCCGAGAGAGAGCAGCTTCGAGGAGCTGATAGGGATCCCTGGCTGACCGCCACCTCAGTCCTGCAACTGCAGGAGTGGAATTCCATCACAACCCGAATGAGCTTGCAAGGAGATGCTCTCCCAGAGCTTCTGGAAAAGAGCTTCTAATAGGAGCCAGCCAGCTCACACTTTGATTTTTAGCTTGTGAGACCCTGAGCAGAGACTACAGCTGAGCCCACCTGGACTTCTGACCTGAAGTGTGAAATAAGAAATGGGTAGTGTTTAAGCTGCTAACTTTGTAATAATTTGTGATTCAGCAATAGAAAAAGAATATACTCCACTTTCTCATTTCACCCTAAGAAGGTCTTTGGGAAGCATCTGATGACTCTCCCTTTGCAGATGGGACAGGCTAAGTAAGGCCCTCAGTTTACAGGTACCCGGCTGGGGCTCAGGGCTGAGCCTAGCTGATTTTTTGGCATCACAAACACTTTTCCCACCTGAACGGCCACAAAGGAACCACAGGCACTCAGCCTTGGCCAGGAGCACCAGAGGTGGGGGACCCGCTTCTCACACTCCCCTTTCTAAGACGCACCCTAGCAGATGTGATCCTGCTGGAGCCTGCGGGGTGCAAAGCCATCCCAGCCCCGCCACCTCCCTGGAGAAGAGCAGAGCTCTTGGCAGAAACCAGAGAAGGGCAGTGACCTCAGCCTCCCCCTTCCTCTCAGATGACAAGTCTGGGCTCTGTTAAGGCAAGAGACAGGAACTGAGATCCAAGGAGCCATGAGGTTCGGCTTCCCCTCCTCCACATCCAGTAAAAAGCATTCTCTGACTTGTTGGGATGGGGATTTTTTAAATTTTATACTTGCTTTCTGTATCATTTGTTGGGCACAGTCGGGCATCTCCTGGGAGTCCAGAAATGTTTGCAGGGAGGGAGGTTTTGTTCCTGCTTTATTGATTAAAAAGCCCTAATAAAGATTTTCTCATTCCTGCAGAGGCCTTTTCTAAAAACCTCCTTAATTCTTCCCAGATGGTGTCCAGTTCTCCCTCCCCAGCAGGGTGGGGCCTCAGAAAGTAGGAGGGCTTTGTGTCTGGCCAACTGGGGATCTCAGCTCTGTCACTTAGTCCCTGAGGGGTGCGTGGGGGCAGGCAACCTCCCCAAGCCTCAGTTTCTTCAGGAGTTTCTAAGATGCAATAAGCCAACAGATATGCACAAGGTACCTGGCAGGCAAAAAGGAGGCACTCACTATTGCTTCCTTACCCGCGTCCCTAACCACAACACAAGAACTACCTTGGACATATTTTTCCGACAAAAGAAAACAATTTTGATTCTCACGACAGGCAGGCCTGGTCGGCCAGCAGCAAGAATCTTCTGTCAGCGAAGTTTGCCTTTGTGCTCCACCTTCCCGAAGCTACATCCTCTGTCTGTGTAGCATTTCCTTCTTTCCAGCCCTCCCTGCTCAGATCCTAGGCCCTGGGAGTGGGGACGCACTGGAAACCTCGGCAAGACTCTTTCAGTTCAGTGTTGCAGAGGGAGGGCAGGGTTGAATGGTGGAATCCCAGGCCCCGGGGCAGATGTGCCAATGTGGGAATATTTTCGGGCAGGGGACGAGGATATTGCCAAGGTCCCTCCAGGTGTCTGTCGGGTGGGGACCAAAAGCAGTGGTTGTGGAAGCCTCTCTCCTGCTTGGGTTTCTCCTGACTGTGTATTTGCAGGTTTGGAGGTTTGAGCTGAATCCTCTTAGATGCGGCTTTTGCTGTCTTTGACATACGAGAAAAATCTGCTTGACTTCAGCTTTTCAGAGTTTCCACGGTGAAGCCTGGGCTGAGCAGGTCCTGGGGGCAGAGTTTGGGAATGTGGGAGTGGTCATGTGTTTGTCGGGGTGAGGGGTGAGAGGAGCTTCAGGGTCTGGGCCCCAGAATAGTTGGCCCCATGACAAGAAGATTGGAGGGTTGGTGAGGCTGTTTTCTCTGCTGTTCCCCGTGGCTTCTGGGGTGTTCTGGGACGGATGGTATTTGAGGGCCAGTGTAAGTCCCTGGGATTTGGGAGTAAAGCTAGTGCCTCTTGGGGAAACCTTCCAGGGCAGAGGCTGAAGGAGGTACTGGGATATGAGGGGGGTGTCCATGCACTGGGGCCCTATGCTCGGACTGGGATTTTGAGGCCAGGGCCCAGTACTGCCCTCAGCTGCCTCCACCCTCCTCCCCTGAGCTGTGGGCTTAGAGCTGAGCCAAGCATAAAACAGACAGCCTCTCTCTGCTTCTCCGTCCCCACCCCCATCCTGACGGAGTCTGGTTTTCATCACTCATTAATCACTGCAGCTTCCCACAGCCTGTGTCTGTCTGTCCACACTCACCAGCCCCCTGGGCCCTGGGGGGATGGATAGACAGACAAGCAGATGGTCTTTAACTTGGGGAAATTTCGGGTCACATTGTGGGCTGCTCCCTCCCCCAGGGCAGGGGAGAGGCCTGCTTCCTGGGTTGTTAGAGGTCACCCCTACCCCCAGCCTGGCCTGAAGCTGCCAGCCCGACCCACCTCACCCTGGCAGCAGGCGACAGGGGCCATTAGTTGTCCTGTTCACCAGGAAGGAAATGGGTTGGAGGGCTGAGGAATTCTAATTAAGCTTCCCCAGCTGGCAGGCCGGCTGGCGGGTGAGAGCTGGCACCTCCACCCCGCTAGAGTCGGTGCCAGCCCTGTCCGGCCTGGCCCGCTTGGTGACCACCTGCCGCTGTGGGAACCCCGGCCTTGGGCTGCCTCGCAGAGCCCCTGAAGATTCCCAGGCACTGGGGTTCTCGGCCCCTGCCAGCCCCCGCTGCTCCCCTTACATCACCTCTCTGCTCTTGTCCTCCCTCCCCTTCCCCTTGACCTCACCACCTTGACTTATCTGAAAGAGATGGGGCCTCCAGGGTTGCATTGCCATGTGTGACCCCACCCACCAGCGTCTCATTGCACCCCGCAACCAACTCTGGACTCCTGAGTACTGATCTGGGTCTGCTCTGACCCCTCTGTCAAGTTGGAGCTACTCACAGGCTCTCTAGGCCTCAGTTTCTCGGACTCTAAAGTGAGGTGAAAATTGCAGTTCTGCTACATCTCTTAGGGTTACCCTCCTGTTATGACTAGCTAGAATGCCATTGATTGAGGGTCTGCTGGGTGTGGAATATGATGTGCAACTGGTGGGAAAGTGTATCAGGTGCCCCAGGTAGGGTGCCCAGGGTCACCCTTACTGTTATCCTCATCCCAGGGCCATAACATCCCTGAATTTGACCACAGAATTTGCCTTCTGGGCCCTCCTGGCTTTTGTATACATTTCTCTAGGACCTCCCTGCTGACCTCAGCCTCGGCCTCTCCTGCCTTCCAAGAGGATTTGTCTTTTAAAATAGGAGACTAAAGAAAGCAGCGCTTGTCCCACAGAAAAAGCATTCTCTAAAAAAAGCATGAGGTTTTACCGGTGGGACTCCAGGGGCTGCTGTAGTTGAGAGGGGGACATTCTAGGTGAGGCAGGGGGTGTGGAGGGAGTGTGTGTTTCAATTAGGTGGCTGCCAGCTTACCTTACCTTGCATGGGGCGGGGAACCCCAACCGCTACACTGGAACTTTCCCCCTCTCAACCCTGGACTTGTCCCCCTCCCGAAATGTCCCTTATGGGAACTGGGTACACAGTGGCCATTGTGGTGTGGGAGAGGAGGCAGGCAGTGGCAGTTAAGAGGGCCACTTTTGGAGTCTAACAATTTTGGGTTTGAATCCCAGCTCGACCATTTGCAGGTTGGATGACCTTGGTCTCTGTTTCTTCATCCATAAAATGAGGATCATAACAGTACAGCCTACCTGGTGGGGCTGTCAAGGATTAAGTGATATAATATGGGTAAAGTGCTTGGTCATGGTGCCTGGCCAGAGAGGGTGCTCCATACATGGTGGCTACAGTGCTGGGAAGCCCTTAGATCTCCCAGGTACCATGGCCTGCCTACCATGCAGGGCACGACTAAGGGCTGGTGGGCAGCACAGCCTAGGGCTGGGAGTGGTGGTGGGGAGTGGCAGGCAGCCATGGGCTCCCCAGTGGTGGCCACAGCAGAGAGCTGGAAATGAGACCAAGTGTGGTCTTTCCTCCCTGGTCCCACGCTCCGTGGTCCCCCAGAGCTGTGTCCCTGGAACCCAGGAGCCTCCAGCTCTGGCTACACACCAGCCTTTCCTCATGCAGGCCTCTGTCTTTACAGCCTCCTGTTGGCTCATCTGCCCTGGTGGGTGGGAACACTTCACAGAGGATCAGAAGATGACATGGATCCCCAAATGGTTTCCACTGGCGCCAGAATGCTGCATAGCAGCCAGCTCTTAGCATTGCCATGAGAGATGGCAAGATCCCCAGCAGGGGCAGAGCCCCTCAGAGAGCAAAGCCCGCCAGAACCAGGATTCTGAAGTCACAGGACTCCTTCCCACAGATCCAGGATACACATCTGCATATCATTGCACAGTGGTTTGCATACATTTGCATCCAAGTCCACATCCACTCCCTCCATACTGTTCCTTTTTCCACCTCTAGTAAGAATGAATATTTAACGTGCCATTCCAAAGTTATAGTAACTAAGCCCCCAAACCCAATTCCATCCATTTCAAGTGTGTTTTGAGGGCCTGATGTCTGGACCAGACTTTATCAGAGACGGAGGATGAGGAAACTAGAGTTCTTGCTTTTAGGGTACTCACAGCCTAACTGGGGAAATTCACAGATGAGATCCAAGAAAAAGAATTAGGGTGCATTCCAGGATGCAGTAGTTATAGATGAATAGGATGCTGGGGTTGGGGGCAGGAGCTCCAGATGGGCTGGAGGAGCATGGGTGGTAAGCTCCAGGGTCCCTGGCACAGGGCTGCACGTGTGCTGGCCACTGCGTTGATGAGGAGTCTGTGAGTTTTTAACTAAACCCCTGTCCCATGGCTCTCTCTGGTGCAGGAACTACACGTGGTCGCCTTGCATTGTACCACAGGCCTGCACTCCACCGCAACAGACTGGACCCAGTGTGGGCCAAGGACAAAGGCGGCCTTTGGTGAGGTAGTCGGACTTGGGAGCTCTGAGTGGGTGGGAGTGCCTGTCCCACCTACTCCCATCCATGCACCTTCAAGTGATACAGAGGAGGGAACCGAGGCACAGAGGGCTGGGTAATGCACTCAAGCATCCACACAGGAAGAGGAACTGGAAGAGGAACCGGAAGAGGAACCCAGGCTCTTTGGCCGGTGCCTTAGGCCACCATACTCCATAGTTTTCCACCAAAGGACATGCTGGGCAGGAGTTAACAGACCATCAGGGGTTGGTGGGGCCGGCTCTGGAGTCCCACTGCCAGGTTTTGGCTGGCTTCTTGATTGCATCCTGTTTGATCAGCTGAGTCTTTCAAATCCTGGTTCCACTGATTGTCAGTGGTGTGACTTCAGGGAAGCTGCTTGATTTCTCCACCAAGGTTTCCTCACCTGTGGAGTGAGTGCAGCGAGGGCACCTATTCATGGGAACCTGATTCACTTGGCACTGTGGTGAATGTGCAATACATGTCTGCTGCTGGGTGGGGACCGATGGGGAAGGTCTGACAATGGCTCGTTTAGGGCATGTAAGGAAATTGGCCTGGCTGGAGCAGAGGCCACCCAGGGGAGGAGAGCGGGACAAGGCTGGGCCTGGGGAAGGGAGCCCCAGTGCCTTCCATCATTCCAGAGAGGCAGATGTGGTCGATGTGGCCAGAGCTGCCTGTGGCTTGGCAGCTTCTCCTCACTGGCCTCATCTGGTCCCTCATAGAGATGCTGTGACTGCCCATCCTTAGGAGCTTCAGGGCTGGGGGTGGGTGCTGTGCCCTTAAGATTGCCCTCAGAATGCCACCAGTTGTTCACAGTCAGCCTTCAAGACCCACAGCATGGTGAAATTCTGAGTTGTCGATATGGCACTTGAAAGCAAGACTAAAGGTTAAATTTTGCCTTCCCTGGGTTCCTTTAAAAAAGGCTGAGATGGGTGGGGGCTTGGCCTCTCCACGTCATTGGGAAAAGGTCATCAGACTCCACTGTCAAGGCAGGAGGGTCAGGGGCAGCAGGAAGACCAGGGGTATCCAGGGAGGAGGGGCAGGGGATGCTAAACAGAGGTAAGATAGCAGAGTGAGGAGGGGCTGGGGGATGTGACTGTAACTCTGAGGACCCCATTATAGGGAAACATTATACTCACAGGCAGACACACACCTGGACATGCATTCTTGCACTCATGGGCCCACAGACCATCAACAAGAGAGTAGTGAGCCAGCCTGCAGGTTTCTAGAATATTCTCTTATGAGAGTCTCTATCCAGGAGTCTAGTTGAGGATAAAGCAAGGCCCTCTCCTTTACACTTTTTATTTAAGCACATTTGGGCAGACTGAGTTTGCCTATTAACTAGAGCTAAAAGGGACTTGGGGCTCAGCCTCTTCTTGGTCCTACGGCTGTGGGCAGGGAAGAAGGAATGAGGGGTAGATAGTACACAACTGAGATCTGCTTCCATCTTGGGTTCCAGTCTCGAGGCACCAATTCTGTGTAGGAAACCCACTGAAGGCAGCTTGACCTGATCTGGCATGTGTGGAGTCTGCTGGAGGTCCAGTCCCTGCCCCGTCCTTCCCCACAGCCCCTCCTTAGGTGGGTGCTCAACCTCTCTGGGGAGAATGCTCTAAGCTTTCTCTTCCACTATTAGCTCCACTCTATTCTTGTTCCCTGGCCCTTCTGTTCCAAACCCTGCAACTTCCCTTTAGACAGCTTCCTTTTTGCCTTTCTGCATGGATTAGATCCTTTGTGACTTGGTCCCTCCCCATTGTAACTTACATACAGTAGCATTAACAGAGCATAAGTGTACAGCTTGACGGATGGCCACATGTGTGTCTAGACTTATGGAACCACCAGATCAATATTTGAAACATTTCCAGCTCCAAAGTTGGTTCCCTTGTGCCCTTTCCCAATCAATACCATCCCTAGGGGTGACTGCTAGTCTGATTTCTGTCAGCCTAGATTCATTTCACCTGTTCTTGACTTTCATAAAAATGGTATCAAACATTCTCTTTATGTCCAGCTTATTTTACTCAATATAATGCATGGCAGATTCACCCGTGCAGTTATGTGTAGCAGATGCTTTGTGGTGTTGTGTTCTAATCACTGTGTAGTGTTCCATTATATGAGTATGCCATGATTTGTTTAGCGCCCCTGTTGATGGATATTTGGGTGTTCTAGTTTGAGGTACTATGAATAAAGGACTCAGGTGCATACCTAGTCATTGACACGTGCATTTGTTTCTCTTGGGTGGACAACTGGGAGTGGAATTCCTGGGAGACTTGAGTTTTTTTTTAAACTTAAAAAAATTGTTTTTGAGATGGAATCTCTCTCTGTCTCCCTGGCTGGAGTGCAATGACGTGATCTCAGCTCACTGCAACCTCTGCCTCCAGGGTTCAAGCCTTTCTCTTGGCTCAGCCTCCCAAGTAGCTGGGACTACAGGCATACAGCACCACACCTGGCTAATTTTCGTATTTTTAGTAGAGATGGAGTTTCACCATGTTGGCCAGGCTGGTCTCAAACTCCTGACCTCAGGTGATCCACTCACCTCGGCCTCCCAAAGTGCTGGGATTACAGGTGTGAGCCACCATGCCTGGCCAGGAGACTTGGAGTTTTAAGAGGTCAAGTCCTTCCTTCTCACTGGCTAGGCTTTGGGACACAATAGTGTTAATGAAGTAGTTGTCCCCACCTCCCAGTGCCCTCCCCGTTCCAGGTGCAGCTTCTTGGGAAGGTCAGGCGCTCTTTCATACTATTGGCTATGAGGAATGGAAGACCCATCCTAGAGGGCTCATGCCTTTAAAGAGCCACTTGAGACCGAGCATGGTGGCTCACGCCTATAATCCCAGCACTTTGAGAGGCCAAGGCAGGCAGATTACTTGAGTCCAAGAGTTCAAGACCAGCTTGGGCAACATGGTGAAATCCCATCTCTACAAAAAATACAAAAATTATCAGGGTGTAGTGGCATGTGCCTGTAGTCCTAGCTACTCAGGAGGCTGAGGTGGGAGGATCACTTAAGCCCAGAGGTGGAGGCTGCAGTAAGCCATGTTCACACCGTTGCACTCAAGCCTGAGTGACAGAGTGAGGCCCTGTCTCAAAACAGACAAACAAACAAAGAAACATAAAGAGCCACTTGAAGAGGCCTGAAATGCTATGGAGGGAGTCGCAGCTCTTCTTCAAGGCCTGGTAGGAAGGTCAGGAGAGCCTGGGGCCTGGGGCAGCAAGGCAGGAAGTATGTAATTGCACAAGGTGCTGGAGGCAACTGAAGCTCTAGGTTAGTGACCTGTCCAAAGCCACATGACCAGCATGTGGCCAGCAGGGATGTCAACTCAGGTGAGTCTTCCTCTAGCCCAGAGCTCTTCTGACCACACAAAGACTGCCCTCTCTGTGGGGAGGAATGAAGAGATAGTCAGGGCTCAGCATTATGGACCCACCGGGTGCTCTGCCCTGCGATCAGCCTTCAGGCAGTTCTTTCTTGGGATCTTCACCCCTGCCTGGCCACTAGCCATGCCGCTGGCCTAGTCCCCTCCCAGGGAGATATTTGCAGGCCTTGAATAGCCTGAGTCATGGCTGTGAGCTGGAGGAGAGAGAGACAGAGCCTGGGGGCTGGTATTAACCAAGACCCCATGCCAGGACCTGCCAGTGAGCCAGCCATGGATGAGTGGGGGCAGCACGCAGAGAACATTCCTGGAAAACAATTTGCCCTTAGTAACCCTCTCGGGCTTTCTTGGCCATACCAACACGTTTGGTCTCAGGTTGGCAAGGCCTGGGATGGCTGTGAGCATCTGGTGAGGGCTTAGTGGGTCAGGGGGAATGCTGTTTTGGCCTCCTGGGAACTGCCAACAGGCATCTCCACTGGAAGGTCCTGGATGGTACCTTCATGATGAAGTTCATGGTGTGAAGACTTTAGGCCGCAGAATTAGGGATTCACTGACTTTGTTCCAGAGGGGGAGAGAGCCCAGATATATATGTATGCATGTAAGTGTGTATGTCTGAGTAATAATGTGTGTGAGGGTGCATGCATCTATGACTTAGCCATTCATTCGTTCATTCATTCTGCAAATATTTACTGTTGCCTATTATGTGCCACTGGAGATTCCACAGTAAATAAAAGAGACAATGTCCCTGTCCTCAAAGGTGTTATTAGACCCAGAGCACACATCTTCATGTGGTACGTGTGTACCTAAAGGAACATGTGGCTGCCTGTGTGTGTGTGTGTGTGTGCGTCTGAAGAGAGGGCTGAATATCTGAGTTTCTGAGTATGTGTGTGTCTAAACATATGAGTCTGAGCATGTGTGTGTGAAGGGGAGAGAATTACTCATCCACTTAGAAAGGCCTCTCCCAGAGCAGTTACATTTTCATAAATAAAAATAATCAGATAATGAGTTCATTTCCGATCTCAAGTTTGATGCCAACATTCCAGTGAAACAAGACTCGCTGGCGGGCTGGCTGCACTCTGTGTGGCTTGGATTAGCTGGGGAAAGTGCAGAGGCCAGACCTGCCACTTGCAGACTGTAGGGAGTGGAGGAAGAGAGGGTAGCCTACAACCAAAAGAATGGCAGCATGTGTCTGGAGCTGAGTAGCCCTTCACCCTTACACAGGTATCAGCAGACAACACTCAGCTGTAAGTTCAGGCCTTATACCCCCAACAGCCTGTGTAACGCTGTTGGAACCAGTGATGGACAGAGTCTGTGCTGCTTTGTGAATGCAGATGGCCCCAGAAGAGATGACCCACTGAGCTGCTATGAATCACAGAAGGTTCAGTGAATGATCCTTTCCCTGGGCACCCAGGCCAGAGCTCAGGGTGCCTGCTGGGAGAACAGTAGCAGGGTACAGAGAGAGGTTGTGACTAGATCCCCTAGGGGAGAGGGATAGAGGCCACAGGCAGACTACAGCCCCTGCTGTCTCCTTGATGTTCAAGGAGTTGAGTTAATGCCTCAGTTTGGCATTCATGGTCTTGCACAATGGCTTTCCCAAACGGATCTGGGCTCTCCTGGTCCACCTCCTCTCGCCTACGCTCCTGCCAGACACAACCATCTTCTACTTGGCCCTCTCTGCCTTTGCTTAGGTTGTTCCTTCTTGGAATGCTTTTCCCCAACTCTGCATGCCCAAATGGATCTGGTCTTGAAGATCCAAAGTCACCCCCTTCACTCAGTCTTCCCTAATTCTGCCAGCTAGGAATGCTTTCTCATATTCGGTGGTGACCGCCTTGTAACAGTGTCCTCCTTTTCCTCCTGGACTCCAAGTTCCAAGAGGGCAGGATCTGTGCCTCCCTCAGCTGATTTTCCTCCACAAGTCCTAGCCAGCCTGGAGATGGGGCTGCGCCTGCAAGCTGGCAGAAAGGTGAACGGAGCTGGAATGAGTAGCAACTGTGGGTGGACCTGGGGGGAACCAGTCAAGGTTGTGACTTGAGATATGCCCCTGCTCTGAATTTGAGACCTAATGCCAGACAGGAGTGCCCTGGATTTGGGTAGGGGCTTGGAAAAGGGCACTAAGGAGAGAGGGATTGGGAAAGCAGAGGGGCTTTTCTTAGGAGGTATGACTTGGACCTCAAAGCGAGACATCTGTGAGATGTCAGGGTACTACACTGGGGGCTGGGGTGGAGGACTGTGGGGATAATCAAGTCAGAGGCAAAGGCTGATTGTCTGCAAGTAAGAAAGAGGAATCCACAGAAGTTGTCTATCCATCCATCTGTCCATTCTTCCATCTGTCCATTTCACTATGTACTTACCTGTTCACGCATTCAACAAGCAACATTGAGCATCTACTGTATGCTAAAGCCCCGTGGAGTTTTACATACATTATTTCATCTACTCACAACAGCTGTGTGAGGAACGTATCTCAGAGGAGGAGAGTGAGCCTCAGAGAAGTTGAAGGCAATGTTCAGGGTCACAGTCCAGTGTCCAGGCTGCTTCTCCAAAGCCTGAGCTCTTCCCACGCCAGTGAAGAACAAATGGCTTATTTCTCAGCCTCTCCCTGGCTTCAGGCTGAGCTAGATCATGGCCCTTGGGCAATATGATGAAGCCTTTTTCTTGTCTGGGAAGTTCAGCCTGTGTCTCCACCCAGGGGCCCCAACCACAATTTGGCCATCAGCCAGCTGTCTTTATCCTCTAACATCTTTGCTAACAAGACCATTTGTAGGGGCAAGCTCCCAACCCAAGGAGCAAAGGTTCATCAGTGGAATTTCTAGCAGACAGGGAAGCTTTTTTGGGCACGCACCCTCTTACTTTGCCAAGAGGGAGGACAATCCTGGCAAAAGGGCCCAGCATGACAGAAAGAGCTGCAACTGTTCTCAAAAATCAGCTGGGAGGTTGCTGTAAATGCATATTCTGGGGCCCCTTCCCTATAGAGTTCAGTTAAATAATCTGGGATGGGCACAGAAGTCTGAATTTGTAACAAGCCCCAAAGGCTGTTGATGTGGGTTGTCAGAGGACTCACAAGAAATTGACACGAAACAAGACTTCCGTTAATGCACCTGAAGATCACACCAGTATCTTGTGCAGATTCATCTCACAGTTGATTGGCACTCATCTGAATACCGACAATCTTTCAGTCTTTTTTTTTTTTCTTTTAACCTGTGCTGACACTGTGGATTTCTTGTATTCCACAAGCAGATCCTTACTCTGAACCCCCTTCAGACTCATCTCTTTAAATGTGGCCTATCCACCCAGCCTGACCAAACCTTTTTGCATCCCAATTTTATTATTCAGCACATTTCTCACTCTTCTCAGCTTGGATGGTCTGCAAATTCTACCAACCACATATCCACTCAAGTTCCTGATAAACATGTTGAAGGGGCCAGGACCAAAGCTATGTAAGAAGCTCTCGCCACACCACCACAGGCAGGCCTCGAGGCCTAGCCCCTGAGGAGTCACAAAGCCTTCAACCTGAACTGCTCCACCCTCCAGGCCTCCATGGCAGAGGACGCTATGAAAGGCTTGCTGGAATCCAGCCACAGGGGCCTGGCCATTCTAGTGTCCTCCCTCAGCCCATCAGCAGGACCCAGGAGGCTACCTGGATCAGATGCTGAACTCCTTCATGGCTTACTGCATTTTGGATGGACAAACCCATCCTTTCTCAGTGCATGTCCAGAACTGTGATATCAAGTTCACAGATGGGTAGAGCAGGTTTCTCTCCACACCCCTTCCTGAGACTCAGGCCTCCTTGGTGACTATACTGCAGTTTGGCAATCTGTAGGCCAGGAGACCTATGTATGTATATACTTGTGACCCAGAAGATAGGGTGGAGGTAGGCAAGGAGTGGAGAGTTGGGGAGAG